AGAGAGAGAAAGAGAGAGAGAGGAAAGAAGGAATGAAGTAGGAGGCGGGAATCAACATTCTCATAGTAGGATATATTTCCATACTAGAGTAAATCAAATTCAGTCATTTGGTCCTCCATTATGACCAACAACATGAACTAACATGATGGCTTGCCTATATAGTGGATGTTACCTGCAACAGTGGTATAGAATGAAAGGAATTAAAAACTATTATTACACCGCTCAGCAGTACCACACCCTAATTCAATTAACCAATCCTAGAAGCTAATGCCAAATTTTTGACAACCCACAATGAATGTTAATCAGAAAACCTAAATCCATGAGCCAGAAGAAAACATACCAGTTTACTGTTCCTTGAACTTAATGGCTTATTGTGGACAACAAACAGCCTATTTGAAATCTTCAGTTCATCATAATCATTAACAAGAAACGATGCTGAGCCTACTAATTGCACTGCACTGTCCCATATACTCTTGCTTGTTTCATGTTGGATAAGATGTAAAAGGTTTATTTTTTAATTAACTCTGGGAAATCCATTAGTCTAATAGATGAGGCTTGGGATAACAATCTAAAAAAACTAATAGCCATGTTTACAAGTAACAAAGAAAAGGGGAAAAAAAATAGGATGTCTAAGCCCACAATGAATTCTCTTAGGCTGGTAGTGAGCAATGTTGATTTGATTCATTTCCTTTCCAGGAGAAAGAACAGCTCATAAAAATATACGCAAGAGTAGACTGGTAAGTAAGTAGTGGGTGTTTCTTTGCTATACTGGTGGCAAAAAAAGAAGCAGAGCCAACAGACAGCAATAAAGTAAAATAAGGTGCTTGCTTACTTGTAGAGGTCAGGTTGAGGCTGTTCACATTCAATTGCTGCTCGGAGGTTATCAATGGATTCGGCTGTACACAGTGCAATGGTATCTCGTACTGCATAATGTGTCTATATGAAAGCACAAGATAATCAAATATAAAGTATTTCTTTTTTTAAACTGTATAGCCAACTGATTTCAGAAACAGCACATTTAGAATAAGAGGCTTAAGCAGAGTTTTAAAAATGTTGATGGACATTCTACACCATTCTTAAAATATGTTACAAATAACTAGGTAACCCTGTTCCAAAAGGATTTCAAAGGTAAAAGAAAAACAAAAACCTTCCTTGACACTGACACTGGAGTGATTTATATTTGTAGCATGCATATAATTAACTGAAATCCCCATGAAGATTTTAACATATTTTTCTCTTCTATTACATAAAAGTTTAAAGATTTTGAAACTGTTCAATATGGATGTATTTTATATAGGAGCAGAAAGATAATGTCTTATATTCAATGAATAAAATATTCTACATATGTGTACCATACTCTTAATTCATCCAAAATGCAAGACAAGTTCTAATGAGCCTATTTATAAACTGTCAATAAAGTTTAATGCAGATTCAAGTATTATAACACTTATGCACAAAGAAAGCTATTGACACAGTCTTTAGGCATATTAGAGAACTTCTTGCTTTATATTTAAAACTACTGCCTGACTTTAAGAATTCTGATTTATTGCCACTTACTGAATAAAAGAAAACTGAAAATTTTCTTCCTCTAAACAATATTTTCAATGTTAGAGAATCTTTAGGTAGATTTCTCTATCTTTTTTTTTCATTTTTTGAGACAGGGTTTCTCTGTGTAGCTTTGGAGCCTGTCCTGGAACTTGCTCTATAGGCCAGGCTGGCCTCGAACTCACAGAGATCCACATGGCTCTGCCTCCCGAGTGCTGGGATTAAAGTCATGTGCCACCACGCCAGGCTAGACTTCTCTATCTTGATAATCCCTAAAATATAACTCAGTATTTGAACAGCCTAAGACACCAGTAAATTAGTGTTGTGTGCTTGAAATACAAAATCAGTAAATAGTAACAAGTAAAACTTTCATTTCACATTCTGAGTCCAATTCCTTAACTCCACAGGGAAAAAAAATAAGAGACCTCCCCAAAGACCTAACCACATGATGGGTGATGGTGCCCTGCATGCTGTGAATGTGTTGCTCCCATTGGTTGATAAATAAAATGCTGATTGGCTAGTAGCCAGGCAGGAAGTATAGGAGGGATAAACAGACAAGGAAAATTCTGGGAAGAGGAAGGCTGAGTCAGGAGTCGCCAACCAGACAGAGAGGAAGCAAGATGTGAAGGCAGAACTGAGAAAAGGTACCAAGCCACGTGGCTAAACATAAATGAGAATTATGGGTTAATTTAAGTTTAAGAGCTAGTCAATAATAAGCCTGAGCTAATGGCCCAGAGGTTTTAATTAATATAAGCTTCTGAGTGATTATTTTATAAGTGGCTGCAGGGTATGTGGGGTTGGGCAGGACCAGAGAAAACTTCAGCTACACCCACATGTGAGCTCATTAGTAATACTACTTTTTTTTTCTTTTAAACAGGATCTCTCCATGCAGCACTGGCTGGCAGAATTCCCTATGTAGACCAGGCTGGCCTCAAACTCAACAAAGATTAATTTGTCTCTGCCTCTCGAGTACTGGAATTAAAGGCATGCACGACCACACCGAACCAGAATTACTCCTTAAAGGCAGCACAGAAAGGATAAGTCTTGATGCTCCATGGAACACTGGATGACAACCGCCCAAAACTGGCTTTGCCAGAAAGTACCAAAGTACACTATCACCCATTTTGATTAAATTGACTATAACATACTTAAAACTCCTCCTAGTTACAATAAATAAACATTTATTAAACTATTTCCTAAGGTATTAAAACATGTAATGAAATTACTCCATATTAGACTGGGTATATCACAGGAGTATTTATTCAATTTTACATGTATGGGTGTTTTGGTTATATGTACATCTGTGTACCACTTGTGTGCCTAGTGTCCAAACAGGTCAGGGCATGCCCAAGCAAGCCAGGGATTCGGATCCCCTGGAACTGGAATTACATCTTATTGTGAGCTACTATATAGGTTTTAGAAATTGAACTTAGGCCCTTGTAGAAAAGCAGTTTGTTGGGATCAGAATGGCTCTGACCCCTCTAAGATTGCCCCCACCTCCCCTGTTCTGAGTGCGCTGAGGTCAGGCTGTTCTGCGTATGTTTTGCTGTTTGGTATATCTCTTGGTTTGGCAGCTGTGGCTTCCTGGGGCATGCTGACCGTTCCTTGACCCTGGGTGCTTGATAAACAATTTTGTTTGTTTCCTCCTGAAAGGGTATATAAGATGGGGAAGAAAGAATAAAGTGAGTCCTGATGCTTGCAACTTGACTGGTGTGTGCTGTGTTCATCCCGACTTCCCTCGCCAGGTTTTGGGCCCAATTGCTGTGCAGGCGTGGCAAGTGGAGGTGTCACTGAGACCTGGAAAGAGGGGTTTGAAGGACGGGGTCGCTTCTGGGCTAGCAAATGGAGTGAATTGGGGATACGAGTAATTAAGGTAAGGTACGTACCATAGGGAACGCTACAAGTAAATCTCAGATGGCCATTGAGATCACTAAGGTTTTAAAACAGCAAGGAACAGAAATTAAGGAAGTACCGCAGCTGCATTTGTTACAATTGTTGCAGAAGTCAGTCCTTGGTTTTTAACTGGAGGGGGATTGAATATCCCTGACTGGGAACAAGTGAAACAGGACTTACAAAGGGCCCTTCATGAGAGGGGCCCAGATAACTTACCTATAGCTACATTTTCCTTATGGAGATTAGTTAAAGATGCCTTGCTAACAGAGAAAGTTAAAGTATAAGAACAATTAGCTGAGGCTACTAGACTTTATAATGAGGCTCAAGAGGAAGAAATCTGTAAGCGCTGTTGATGAGAAATTAGACGTGTTATGGGGCATGGAGACTGAGTTGTCAGAATCAGAAGGAGAGGACTCGGAGGAGGAGAAATTAAAGCAAGAAGTCAAGGAGTTAAAGAAAAAATTAAAACAATGTAAAGTGAAACCAAAAGACAGTTCAGGCAAAGAGGACGCTGTCGACACTCAGCCGTCTGTGCCACCTCTACCTCCGGCCTATGAGGAGGAGGATTGGAAATGGCCAAATGTAAAAGAGTACCGAGGAGTAGCCTTCCAAAATTCAGGTGCCCATGCATTCCCCATCATAGAGATAGATGATCCTGCTAACCCTGGTCAGAGAGCATCAGACAGCATGTTGCCCTCACCTTCAAGGAAATGAGGCAGTTGAAGGAAGCTGTACCCAGCTACGGTGCCTTGGCTCCTTTTACTTTATCTTTGGTAGAATCTTACCAGGCAGCTAACCTAACACCCAGCGAATGGCAGCAGCTATGCCATGCTGTTTGTCTGGAGGTGATTACTTACTATGGAGAGGAGGGTATCAGGAAAAGTGTATACAAATTGCCCATTTAAAGGCACAAGCCGGGTTTCCTGAGAGGAATTTAGACATGCTGACTGGCTCAGGAGGGTACACTGCCTTAGCGGCACAACTTGTTTATGATCCTGGGGTATATGCTCAAATAGCTACTGCCACAATCCAGTCTGGGAAAGCATTGCCTAATAAAGCAGCAGGTGATCAACTGTCTCTAGTTCAGGGCCCATTTGAGGTTTATCACGATTTTGTTTCACGCTTATTACAATTAGCTGGAAAGTTGTTTGGGGATTCTGATCAAGCCATTCTAATAGTAAAACAGTTGGCTTTTGAAATGCCAATAAATATTGTAAGGAAGCCTTAGGATCTCATAGAAATAATTTTGAATTATTTTGAATAATTTGAATAGTTTGAATGATTATATCAGGATCTGTAGAGATATAGATGGAAATCACATAACAGGACAGGTGTTAGCTGCAGCCATATGCCGTGGCCTTGAAGGGGCTGCAGGTAACACAGGACAGTGCAACTCTTTTGGTTGTGGACAAGCAGGACATTTTAAAAGGGACTGCCTTAATAACAGACAACAGACTACTCCTGGCATCTGTCCACGATGCCGGAGAGGGGCTCACTGGAGTAGCGACTGTCCTTCAAAAACAGACATTGAAGGGAGACCCTTACAGCCGGGAAACGGCCAGAGGGGCCCGCTCAGGGCCCCGTGAAAAGCCCAAGTGTATGGAGCAATGAACCCTTCCAGTATGCCAGGGAGCGGCAGGATTCAGTTTGTGCCTCAAGGCAATCCCTTCATGTTGACAACCTCACTAGAGGAACCCTAGGGAGTGCAGGACTGGACCTCAGTACCACCGCCAGAGCAGTCCTAACTCCTCAAATGGGACCGCAGGCCCTGCCTACAAGAGTTTAAGGGCCCCTACCACCTAACACCATGGGCCTTATATTGGGCCCCTACCACCTAACACCATGGGCCTTATATTGGGCCAGAGCAGTGTAACCTTGAGAGGAGTCACAGTTCTTCCAGGAGTCATAGATCAAGATTATCAAGGAGAATTTAAGATTATGACCACCGTTCAAAGAGGAGTTATAGTCATTCCCCAAGGGGAGCGATTGGCTCAATTACTTTTGATTCCCAGGTATCTACGAATAATCCAATTATTAACCCTGTTAGAGGCACCGGGGGGGGGGGGCGCAGTTAGCTCCACAGCCTTTTGGGTTGCTTCTTTGCAGGACAGACCTCAATTATAATTAACTATAGATGGGAAGGGTTTTAAGGGAATTCTGGATACTGGGGCATTTGTTTCTGTTTTGGCTTATGAACATTGGCCTAAAGCCTGGCCCCTGGAGAGTACTTTGTCAAAATTATAAGGAATAGGGCAAGCCACACCTCTTAAAAGTACTAAAATTTTGCACTGGAAAGATGATGGCCATCAAGGGAGTTTTCAGCCTTATGTCTGTGGGAGCCCATTCTTGGGTTCCTCGTGGCTTTACCCAGCAGGTCCGAATAGAGGCTGATCAGGACCACGGGCCTGAGTGCAGGTGTCTGAGATGGCCTGCACTTGGCTGTGCTGGGGGAGGAGGTCTTTTGCTCCACCCCTTGGCGTCTCTATAAAAATCCTGGGCCTGCCGGGCGGTGGTGGCGCACGCCTTTAATCCCAGAACTCGGGAGGCAGAGCCAGGTGGATCTCTGTGAGTTCGAGGCCAGCCTGGACTACCAAGTGAGTCCCAGGAAAGG